ACGTCCACGTCGGGCGCCTCAATCTCGACTTTGGGGCCCTTGATGTCCAACTCGGGGCCCTTCAGGTCACCCTCGAGCTTTGGGACAGACACGTCCATGTCGCCCTTGACCTTGTGGCCCTTCAAGTTCAAGTCAATGTCAGGCATTGAGATCTTGGGCGCCTTGATGTGCATCTCGGGCATCTTGAACTTGGGCCCCTTCAGCTTCCCCTCAGGACCCTCCAAATCAACCCCGGGTGCCTCAACGTCTAGTTTCGGCCCCTTAACGTCTATTTCTGGCACTTTCACCTCCCCTTCCACCTTCGGAGCCGCAACATCCATTTCTCCTTTCACTTTTGGTCCCTTTAGGTTCAAGTCTACGTCGGGCACGGGAATTTTTGCCGTTTTGATATTCAGCTTCGGCATCCTGAACTTGGGGCCTTTCCATTTCCCTTCCGCTCCCCCGACATCCAGCTCTGGCCCCTCGATATCAGCCTCGGGCCCCGAAATCTCCAGGTCTCCTGCCGGCAGGTTGACGTCTACGTCGGTTCCCTCCAGTTTTGGGCCGGACACGTTAAAATGCGGCGTTTTAATTTTCAGGTTGGCTTCCGGAGCCGCCAGGTTGACATCTGGGACCTCAACGTCTATTTTGGGTCCCTTGATGTTAACGCCGGATCCTTTCAGGTCCCCTTCGATCTTTGGAAGGGAAACGTCCATCTCTCCTTTCGTTTTGTGGCCCTTCAAGTTCAAATCTACGTCCGGGACGGATATTTTAGGCGCCTTAATATTCAGCTTCGGCATTTTAAATTTGGGGCCTTTTATTTTCCCTTCTGGACATTCCAAGTCCACCTCAGGCAAATCAACGTCCACTTTGGGACCTTCCACATCTATCCGGGGGCCCTTCAGGTCCCCAGAGACCCCCAGGCCGGAAATATCTGCGTCTCCTTTCACCTTGGGGCCCTTCAGACCCAGATCCACGTCCGGCACGGACAGTTTGGGCGTCTGGATGTTTAATTCGGGCATTTTGAATTTGAGACCTTTGCCTTTGCCCTCCGGCCCTTCGACGTCCACGCTCGGCACCTCGACCTCGGGACCGGAAATGGCCGCCCCGCCCTTCGGAAGCGTCACGTCGACGTCGGGGCCCTCCCCCTTCAGGCCGGGCACCCCAAATTTGGGCATTTTCAACTTGGGTATCTTGAGTTTCCCTTCCGGCCCGTGGATGTCCACGTCTGGCGCCTCGATGTCGACTGCGGGGCCTTTGAGGTCAAGTCCGGGCCCGTGCAGGTCCCCTTCGAGTTTTGGGGCAGAAACATCCAGGTCCGCTTTGACTTTGGGACCTTTCAGATTCAAATCGATGCCGGGGGTGGATATTTGGGGGGGTCTGACCTCCGGCGTTGGAACTTCGGGGCCTTTGACGTCCACGTCGGGTGCCTCCACTCCCAGTTTGGGGCCTCTGAGGTCCAGTTGGGCTCCTGTCCAGCTGCCGCCCCCCTTTGGGGTGGAAACGTCCGCCTCTCCCTTCAGCTCCGCTCCCGTCACGTGCGCGTCCGACACCCGGGGCCATTTCAAATAACCCTCCGGGCCCCCAAGTTCAACGTCGGGAGCTTTTACATCCACCTTGAGACCCTTGGAGCCTTTGAGGTCCCCTTCCACTCCGGGCACCGCGACACCCGCGTCGCCCTTCACCTGGGGCCCTTTCAGGTTCAAGTTCACATCCGAGAGGGAGATTTGGGGCGTTTCAACCTTCTTGAACTTGGGGCCTTTCCATTCGCCTTTGACGGCCGCATCGGGAAGGCCAACGGCTGCGTCGGGCGCTGCCGGTCTCCCCTCGCCCACCGCCTCCACGACGGGACCTTCCCCTCGCGAGTCCGAGGCTGTGAATTTGGGGAAGGTCAAGCGCGGGATTTTGACTTTTCCGGCACGAAGATCGGCGTCGGAAGCCGGGAGCTCTACGCCGGGGCCTTTGACGCCCGCGCCGGGGACCTCCAGCTCGGAGGAGGGGACCTTCGCGCCCCCCTTCCACCCCGCGTCCACCTGCGGCCTCGGGGCTTTGGTGGAAGGAGCTGAAACCTCCGGACCCGCCGCCTGGACGGGGGAGGCGGCGACATCCGCGCACGGAACCTGCGGCTTTGGCGGGGGAAGGCCGGGGCCCACCCGCGGGGCTGGAGCTTCGCTGCCGGATCCCGCGGCGGGGAAACCGAACTTGGGCGTTTTCAAAACGGGGATCTTGATTTTTCCCACGTCGGCGGTCGGATCTTCCATCGTCGGCGAAGCAACGTCAACGCC